GGCGAGGGCGGAGTAAGGGGGCAGACCCCCCCTGCTGGCCACGCTGCTCTTGATGCAGCCCAGGATACGGTTGGCTTCCTGGGCTGCCAGCGCACATTGCCGGCTCATGGTGAGCTTCTCATCCACCAGCACCCCCAAGTCCTTCTCCTCAGGGCTGCTCAGCAACACTGGAGTTAGAATGATTCGCAGAGATATTAGAGACCAAAGGGTAAGGGAGACCCTTCCGCTGAGCCACGAGGCTCAGGATGGACCCCCTTGCTTCCTAAACTCCTTCTCAGAGAGGAGCCCGGGTGCAGCTGCATCCAGACTTCGCCTCAGACTTCACCAACATTTTATGTCTAAAGGATCGTACGCGAATGTTTCATCAGCGTCAAAGTCACCAAGGCAAAATCGAAGATATCACGGTTCTGGGTGGTATTGGTCGCTTACCAAAGATTTCTCCACCTCAGGGAGCGTCGCAGCTCAAGGGGAGATCACCGCCACGCAGCCAAGCAGCGAGAGCTCAAGGCAGGCTCGCTTCGGCTCTCAAATTTATGGAATGAAGTGGTTGGCTTGCAGCCAGACTGCGTCCCGTGGACAGGTACGCAGGAGACTCCTCGCACCCACACTCCTCGCACCCACAATTTTCTTTGTTCCTTGATAAAGCAGCCTTGGAAAAGCCACCTGCCAGTCACGAGCACGATCGGTGTTCCAACCTCACGCGCACCGACGCTCACCGAGTCTCTCTGCTCCGTGGTGGGTTTACAAGGAACAGGTTGGAGCTAGAGGAGTTCACGGTCCGGCCACGGCTCAGGCATTCACCTGCCCTGGAGCTTGCACCAAATCACCACCAGCCTGGCCAAGGGGCTGAGCGCGCCCGTCACGCTCCACCCACAGCTGCAGTCAACCCACTTCATCGACTCACAGAGCGGTAGTATGGTTAGCTCCTGCCTCTAGGTCATAAATACACGGTGTACTGCAGATCGTGGGGAAGAGTGCAATTATCTGACAAGCTGTTTAGCTGAATGCCAGGATTACTGTTATTGATATTACCATTTTACATAAGGGATCAGCTGATTGTGTATGATTTACGTGCTGGATAGATGTCAGTCAATCACCTGCACCCATCACAGAGAAGCAGGGGCAACGGGCACAAACTGAAGCCTGGCAAGTTCCAGCTGAACCTGAGGAAGAACTTCTTCCCTCTGAGGGTGACGGAGCCCTGGCCTAGGCTGCCCAGAGGGGCTGTGGAGTCTCCTTCTCTGGAGATATTCAAGACCCGCCTAGATGCGGTGCTGTGCAGCCTGCTCTGGGTGACCCTGCTTCACCAGGGGGTTGGGCTGGGGGATCCCCAGAGGTCCCTTCCAACCCCGAACATTCTGTGATTCTCTGATTCTGTGATTCTGCAGCCCTCATCCAGGGTTATTCCTGGCAAAGCACGTTGCAGCTCTCGTCTTTTCACGACGTACAAAACAAATTGTGTTGTTGTTGATAGTGAACCACCTCCTGGACAGGGTCCTGTGCAGCCTACTGTAGGTGACCCTGCTTGGGCAGGGGGGTTGGACTAGATGACCCACAGAGGTCCCTTCCAACCCCTACTATTCTGTGATTCTGTGATTCTGTGAATTCAGAACCAACGGGGTCCCAACAGCTGCACCCGGGTCTGCTGCAATCCACCTCCACCCTGGGATTGCATCTGCTAAGTGGCCTTGGAAAAAACAGGCTCTGCAGTGCCTATGGAACCAAGAGGGTCGTTGCCACCATTTGACTCCGCTGCATAACGAAAGGCAACTTGTCTCAGCAAGTTTCAGTACCTACCAGATATCTTCAGGCCAGCCATACTTTATTAGGTCTTCATCTGTAGGAATAAAAGTTTCAGTAAGCAAAGCCCAGGATCTCATCGTCCACAAATCAAACTATGTGACAACAGCAGGAACCCCCCACTGCTGGTCAGCCACGGCACGGCGACTGAGCAGAAACAGAATAGGGCTTTAACGCTGCACCTGCCTGCTCCAGGGATGGCAGGAACAGCTCCCACACAAAATTATGAAATTTTGAAGGGTAAATATGTTTCTTCAAAAATG